CAATATCCAGCTCAAGCTCTCATCTGTGGCATACCCAGAAGCGAATGGACAGGCGGAAGCAGCAAACAAAACCATACTTCAAGGACTCAAGAAGCGTCTCCAAGAACATAAAGGAAATTGGGTAGAGGAACTCCCCCATGTACTATGGGCGCTACGCACCACTCCAAAAAGCTCTACGGGTGAAACTCCATTCTCCCTAACTTTTGGTGCGGAAGCGGTGACTCCCACGGAAGTTGCGTTGCCCACCCTGCGTGTTCAATATTTCAACGAAGGGAACAATGTCAGCATGGCTCATGAACTAGACATGCTAGATGAGAGAAGGGCAGGAGCACTTCGGAAGCTGGTAGAGGACAAAGAGCAGCTGGCAAAATACTATAATTCAAGACTGAAGCCTCACCACATCGAAGAGGGAGACCTTGTGTTGAGAAAGGTATTTCGCCCTAACCCCAATCATGGAAAGTTGGCTGCTAAATGGGAGGGACCTTTCGTCGTAAGGGAAGTGATAGGACCAAGCACTTTCAAGCTCGCCACCATGGAAGCAGAACGTGTCAGCAAAACCTGGAACGCAAGGCATCTGAGAAAGTACGTGTGCGAGCAAGAAGCACAAGAGGAGTAATCGGAAGATTAACATTTTGTAGGGAGGAGGAGCGCTCTCAAAGAGGCGTAGCCCGAAGACACCCTAAGGAAGACTCAAGTGTTGTTTTCTTTTTGCTTTACTTCAAAGGTAGACATTTTTTGTAGGGAAGAGGGACGCTTTCAAAGGGGCGTAACCCAAAGACACCCTAAGAGAGTCCCTTTTGTTCGGTTTTAATTTGTAATATTCGGAATTTTCGGGTAAAGGGACACATCCTGGCAGTACCCCAGGTAATCCCCTATCTGGCTAAAGGAATGGAGATTCACTATTCAGCAAAGCAAAGTTGTTCCTGTATCAGCAGGTAGAGTCTCCGCCAACTCGGTTTCTCCGTCAAGGAGAAGCCCAAACGTATCACCTCCTTTTCAGGAGTACACGTAAGAAAAATCAAGCTCGGCTCAAGATAGTCTTCCCGCAGACCGTCGGAGGAGCCCCAATGCTTACACTTGGTTTCCATCCAAGTATCGGGCGCTCGTTGTACGAGTCCCCATGAGAGGCGATAAAATTGATATCCCTCGCAAAAATTCCTGCCTCGGCAGAAGGGGTCACCCAAACCCGCTTCCTCCGTCGAGGAGAAGCCTAGACGCGTTACTTCTTTTTCAAGAATACGCATGGGAGACCTAAAACTTGCTTCCTTCGTCGAGAAGGAGCCTAGACACGTTACTTCTTTTTCAAGAATACGTGAGACCTAAAACTTGCTTCCTCCGTCGAAGAGAAGCCTAGACGCGTTACTTCTTTTTCAAGAATACGCATGGGAGACCCAAAACTTGCTTCCTTCGTCGAGAAGAAGCCTAGACACGTTACTTCTTTTTCAAGAATACGTGTGAAGAGACCTAAAGCTTGTTTCCTCCGTCGAGGAGAAGCCTAGACGCGTTACTTCTTCTTAAAGAATATATGACGGAACTAAAACAACATTCACAATAGGTCCAAGAAAACGGAAAACTTGCCGATAACATTGTTCAAAATAACAGCCCAAAAGCTAAACATCCACAGACATGCAAGGGAGAAATAAGCAGAAGATAACATGAAATTGACAGAGTCCAGACAAACAAGGAAAAGAAAAAACATCCCGACTCTACTAGTCCGACTTGCTCGAAGGATTGTCGGACGAGCTAGAGTCACCATCGGTACCACCATCCGAGGCGCCACCCTAACCATCGACAGCAACCATATCCCCACCACCTTCCCCGGCACCAGCATTGGCATCGACGTTGTCACCCACTTCCTCTTCCCCAACCCTCTCGACGTCAACCTCCACGTCATCGGCAGAAGAGTCACCCTCATCCAAGGGGTATGGGTCCGAGTCGGAAGGCTCGTTATCCGTACCAAGGGAGAGGAAGTAATCATCCATAGCCTGCCAGACCTCCGGAGTATCCCACTTCATGCCAGGATTATCGGAGCGGACCTTCTTACGAATGCCGATGAAAGCCCTCTTCTTCACTCCGAGCAGAAGGTTCTGCTGCCACTCACGAAACTCTGCTGATGACAGGTGGGCGTTTAAGGCATCTTCACGCTCCTTGATCAGCCTCTTCTTGAATTCCTCCTGAAAGAAAAGGTTTACGCGCTTAGCTCGAATGAAGGGAGAGCAAGAAAGACACAGCAAGAGAACTTACCTTCTGGTGACCCCTAGCGGCAGACATCGCCAGCAGCTCCTTCTCCAAGGCCTCAATTCGCTTCGCCTGAAATGCTAGCTCTTTCTCCTTCTCTTCACGAACAGAAACACTCTCAGCAGCCAAGGCGTCCGAAAGCTGCCGCTTCACCGACGCCAACTCATCCTCCAGACGAGAGTTAACGCCTTGGAGAGTGATCTTGTCAGTTTTCAACTGAGAAGCCAGCAGAAAGTTCTTATGGGCGCGGTCTCGATTCTCTGCACTCTTGTCAGAAAGAGTAACCACATCAAGCATCGCCTAAACAAGAAACAACAACGATTAGTAACGAAGCATGATCCACTAATAGTAAAAGTGTGTAAGAGCATACCTGGAACAAGTGCTGGCACGCCGAGCCTGCAGGAGAGGTACCCTCGTCGAGGGGAAGCTTCAGGAAATTCTTCAGCTCCACGGCCGAAGTAAAGGCGCTTGGAGCATTGAGGGCAACAGAAGGAGAGATTGGAACAGGCTCCTTTGGCTTTACGGCACGTCGCGAGCGAGGAGGTGCCAAAATCTCATCAATACTCCCAAGACTTGGTTTGTTCTTCTTCTTCGGAACCGCAACAGGAGAGTCGGCCGAGGCATGGCGCTTGCCTAATGTCTTCTCCGGGAGAGGGTCGCGTGACCCCAAGGAAGGAAACAATCGAGGAGACGCCTCCTCGATGTCGTCAGACGCCTTGCCAGATGAACGGGGAGTTCGCTCGGCAGGGATGCTAGGCGCCTTCTGTGCCCTAACTCCGGAGGCGCCAGGAGTCTTCTTCGCCATCTTCGCTAGGCTCGAGTAGTCGAAATCTGCAAAAAAAAGAGTTATGCAAATACCATAAGTTGGGAGATAGAATAAAATCATTCGAAAGAAATATACCATGGTCGTAAAGTTCTCCCAAGGCGCGCGCTCTCTCCCCTTTTCTCCCAAAATCCACGGGAGGTGCACGAAGAATGTGGTGCTTCTGTTCCCGCTCAGGCTTCGCAAGGGTAAAATCCTTGGCCCACGTTTCTTCCGAACCCTCACCCCACAGAGTCGAGAGAGGCGCCAAAGTCGGTGCATGCCAAGCACCGGGAGTCGGCCTAATAAAGAAGTAAGAGCAATACCATTTGCTAGGGACCTTAGGCGATCCCTTGCAAACCCGTCCCTGGTATTTACTATCACGCTTCACGGCCGACCAACCATGCTTACCCCGCTCCAAGGCATATATGCTACGGAAGATAGAGAATGAAGGGATGTAGCCTAGGCGCTTGCAGATAAGCCGGAAGGCGCAGGTGTGAAAGATAAGCGAAGGAGACAGAAAGCTAAGAGGGCACCCAACCATCTCCAAAATACCCGATAAGATGGGATCCAATGGAACTTCAAACCGCACTTCAGATACTCCGAATAAATCGCAAACCAACCCTCGGGGCAACTCCCGATGCGAGCACTACGATCCGGAACCGCATATCCCCAGTCTGTAGGGTAACCTAGGCCGCGGATATAAGATACAACGCGATGCAGTTGAATGCTGGGTCGCTTGTCAGGACCTAGTAGGCGCGCCGAGGAAGGAGGCGCCTCACCACCCCACATCCCCCGCCATGGCAAAATAGTATAGCCTGAATCGGTAACCGTCCGAGAATAAGACGTGCCAGGGTCGGGGTCCGCACTTGACGTATCATCCTCAGTAAGCGCCTCCAGACGGGTATATGATTGATCATCCTCGATGTCACTAGCAATCTCGGCGAGTCTCCATTTGGATCGTCTATACACTGTTTGATCCACTAAGATTCCCAAACAGCAAATATATGATATTAAAGTTAACGAAATAGAGAGAGCATAGCTTACCCATCTTCCTAACTTTACTTGAGGAAGCCTTCTCCTTTCCTTTCTTAGAGGCAGAGGCGCCACCCACAGACGCAGAAGGTTGAGAATTGTTGGAAGCCATGAGTGAGTGGTGAGCTGCAAAATGAGTCTGGGAAGAAAAGCGTGTACAACGCCTAATCCGGTAGCGCGCGGGTAGAAAACCGTTGTCGCCTCCCGTGACTATACGTGGTTAGGCACCTTCGACGCCTTGAAATAGAATCCTACAAATACAGAACAAGTCACGAGTAAGTAAGGTGGCGCTTTTGAAGTAAAAACTGAAGCACAACAAATCAAAGGAAACCCGGATAGTGATGTCTAGCAAAAGCGCCAGGCAAAACAAGAGAGGAAAGCGCCCTCAGTTAAAAACAAGACAGCCGGGAATGGGAGGCACCCTCAGTCTAACAATAAAGAAGGGTACAAGGCTCCACAACTTATAGAGCCAAACTAAGCAATTAGCAACCATGAATAGGCCTTCCGCCACGCCTAAACAACTAAGGAGTGTGCAAGGCGCCTAGCAAAAGCGCCAGGCAAAACTAAAGGTGAACAGCCGGGAATGGGAGGCGCCGCCACTCAATCCCCTAACAATAAAGGAAGGTGCAAGGCGCCCAACCAACAATACAAACAGAATCAATCGGCGCGTCCAACGAATGGCCAAACCATTAAAATTTGGAGGCGAGGCGCCTCCTCTTTAATCAAATCAATCGAAAGGGTTAAGAAGCATCACCTGATGAGAGAGGCGCCTTCCCAAATCAATTGGGAGCGATGATAGGTGGCGCCGATGAGAAGGCAGATCACTCGTGATTAGCGCGGATGAGGGGCAGGCGCCTTAGCTGAGATGAGCCGAAGAAAGTCTCCGAGACGGGAGAGGCGCCTTCCAAAACAATCGGGAGCGCCTATGCGAGGCGCAGCGCGGACGAGAGGAAAGAAAGCGGACTGCGAAGCGCCGAGGGGGAGGGTAGGCGCCCGAGCTGAGATGAGCCGAAGAAAGTCTCCGAGACGGGAGAGGCGCCTTCCAAAACAATCGGGAGCGCCTAGGCGAGGCGCAGCGCGGACGAGAGGAAAGAAGGCGGACTGCGAAGCGCCAAGGGGAAGGGTTTTCGCCGAAAAGGATTTTGGGGGAGGAGGAAAAGTGAATGGTGGAAGGAAGGGAAGGATTTAAATAGGTGGGAGGTGGAGGGCGCACGGTTCTCAAAGCGGGCCACCCTAAGGCCCAACCTTCCATCACTCCTCAATTAAAACCACACCCTCCAAATTTTAATGGGCTTGGTCCAAAACTGCAGCTAGCAAGCTATATGGGGTGGCGTCTTAGATGTCACCCCATACCTCGCCAATGACCTTTTCTTTTCCCGGATTATTTTGTTATGATTGTTCCTCTGGTGGGTTTTGCCCACTGCCGCCACAGGTAGTCTGTTGGGGGTAGCGCCTTCACATACTCCCCTGAGATTTTTTCAAAACCCTTACGATTTTAGAGGCGTTATCCTTGCGAATTTGTATTTTTGTATTCGTAATCTTTATTTCTATTTCGTATTGGTATTTTCTTTATTCTTCTCTATTTTTATTTTTATTTTTATTTTCTATTTTTATTTTATTTTAGACCTTTTTTAGAACATACTTGTTTGCCGATGCCACACTACTTGTGCCATCGCCAAAAGGGGCAATTGATAGGGTATCATAGTGACTAAGGAATTAATACCATGGCTAATGACATGAGGAAGGGAAGAAGACAAGAGAAAAAAGACAAGGCTGGGGGATAAGAGACAAGCCCAGGCACCTGACATCAGCAAGGACAAGGGGCAGGGGGACACCCTCTGCCAAAAGGACTATGAACAGTGTCAGAGAGTCTGAGGCGCCCGACCAGAGCATTTATGGCTTGGCAGGCGCCCAGACCACTACCTAACCCTCAAATGTGTATAAATAGGAGTTCTCTCCTCATAAATGGCAATCTATCTACTCTTACTACTACTTCTCTCTACTTTCTCTCTCTATATCCTTCTCTTTTCTTGCTTCTGACGAGGCGGGGCGCCTACCCCTCCAAGGTCATGGCTGACACCCCAAATCCCTTGGACCCGAGTGACGCCCAGTCACCCGGGCTCAAACACTTATTATAGTCGTAAAAGTTAGATAATTTTCGTTAAGATTATAATTTGACAGCTATATTTCTTAATTATCAGAGTCAATTATAGTGCTCTATATATACAAACCCTACGTGATTTCAGTAATAAAATACAACTATTACCATGGAGTTCTAATTTTTACGACAGACGAAAGGGATGAGCTGGGAAGTCGAGACGGGGCGAAGGGACGGGAGAGTGTCGACCATGAGCGAGGCCTTCGGCCTGATCCCGCCGTCGGCCAACATCTCGACCCTGATCGCCGGCTTCCGAGCCCGCGGCCTCTCCGTCAAGGACCTGGTGGTTTTACAAGGCAGCCACACCATCGGAATCTCCCACTGCTCTTCCTTCACCAACAGGATCTACAACTTCACGGGGAAAGGGGACGTGGACCCGACTCTGGACTCGGAGTGCATCCCCAAGCTCCGGGGCAAGTGCCGGTCGCCGGCGGACCAGACCACGGTGGTGGAAATGGACCCGGGAAGTTTTAAGACTTTTGACGACGGGTATTTCAAGCTCGTCGCTAAAAGGAGGGCTTTGTTCCAGTCCGACGCGGCCATGCTCGACGACGATGAGACCAAGGCTTACGTGGAGAAGTCCCTGACCGCTGGATCTACTTTCCTGAAGGACTTCGGGGAATCGATGGTTAGGATGGGCAGGATCGGCGTGCTGACTGGGCAAGCGGGGGAAATCAGGAAAGTATGTTACAAGATTAATTAAGTGGATTAACTTTCGTAATTTCTAAGTTGAATATTATATATGTATTTAAAAAAAGGTGGGTTGTAATCACGAAGGTATATCGTCGCTAATTATATGGTTCGAAAGACGGCTCAGAATGGCCGTCAAATAGGGTTTGCGAGAGGTAATTGTTGATTCAAGTTGGTAGTGAAAGAGTTGAGGTTTTTATTTGGTTTATGTCAATTTTATTGGTGTTGATAATATCGGCAAAAGATATTAAGATATTTTTCTTTTTTTTTTTTCTTTTCGCTGTAACGGTGCTCTTTGTGCTTCGAGGAGAAAGAAGATAAGATAACTATTATAATAATCAATAAAGAGAGCATTAGTTTTTATTTTTGGGTTTACTTAATTATTATTTCTACATCATATTGTTGTTAGTAATAAATCCTTTTCATTATTGAACTCGAGCGTAACTCATTGCTACGTTTCATTATACTGTTTCATTTATCTTCATTCTTCATCGATCATAAGCATATAATTTATCAACAACTAATTTGTTACTTCAATAACTCAAATCATTTGGTCGAGCCAGAAATTTATCTTATACCATTACACCATTGCTTTTTATGAAGCCGGTTTGCAAAAAATGCACCAACTTGGAGAACTCACCATTAGGGATGTCAATGGTAGAGTCGGGTGCGGGTTTACCCTATACCAACTCCTAACTCGCCGGGTAGATCTTTCTAAAATACCCGACTAAATAACTACCGGGTATGCAAATGATATAACCATACCCTACCCACCGGGTAACCACGGGTATTCGGGTAACCATGGGTACAAATCCTAAAATATGAACTTATACACATATATGCACGTACATACTGTTGTCCATTAAAAATTCTTAATACTTGTAACTGTTCTACCTTCAACAATCCACACAAATAAAAACAACAAACACATAATAATTGTTTTTTCTTCTACAATCCACACAAACAAAAACACAATACATCATATTTGTTCTAGCTTCAACAATCCCCACATAAACAAAAACAGCAAAGACAATATTAGAACCAGACCACATCAAATGCTCACTGCTTAACTTATGCTTCATGACATCCATCAATGCATCATTAGTAGAACAATTATCCAAGGTAATCGTAGATACCTTTGTATCAATATCCCAACCAAGTAAAGTTTCAAGAAGAGCTTGAGCAAGCACCTCACTTGTGTGTGGGCAAGGAAAATCGACTGCTGGGTAGGGTTAGGGCTAGGGAAATTGACCCTTTGGTTAGCGGGGAGGGTATAACAAGGCGGGTATTATCGATTACCATACTCGTACCCTACCCTTTATTTTGAAATCGGGTATTACCCGAACCCGCCCCTTATCCCGTCAAAGCGGGTAATTACCCTCGTTGACCGGTTACGATCATGTAAGGTACCCATGGTTACGGGTTGGATTGCATCCCTACTCACCACTAGCTAGGAAAACCCTAATTTAACAACCAATTAGAGTACCGTCATGCGTCATGGAGAAAGCGATTAAGGCCATACATAAAGAGGTAAGGTAATGGAGTCGTTATAACCAATTCATTCTAATAACTCGTCTTTTTAATAGAGTCGGGAGAGTACATATCATTTTTCCTATATAAATGTGCAAATTGAGAGAAATTTGTGCACCGAGTTTGTAGCTTATACGAGTTCAAATTAAGATGTGGCTTACACCCTTTTAATATTGGGGACTACTAAACTTTGAATGACAATATATTTTGGTCATAACTCTAATATCACACACAAACGAAACGAAATTATGTATCATTCTTTTCCATGATCGTGCAAACTAAAACCTACATTTATGAAAGAAAATATTTACTAACTACACTCCATCTGAATTTGGAGGTGAATAAATTAAAAATCTATGTCATCAAGGACCGACACAATATCATTGCTGGCCTGGTTTCGGCGATTGCTTTCTTTCTGAACAGAATCCAGTGCCAAAGCTTATATTCAATCTGGCGCTTTCCTCTTTGGGTGTTGTATTTAAACAGTAATTTAGTATCCAAAGAGTCTCTTTACTCTTCCATTTCTGGCATCTTCCATATATATAATCTCTCAACAATTGTATAATACTACTCATCGGCTCCACCCTCACACACTTTAAAAAAAAAAAAAAACAACAATTTCCCATTATTCTTTGCGTTGTATCTTCAAAATTCTACCTCCATTTGTTAGCCATTAAGGCATTAACAAAGGGACAATCACTCATATAGGCCATTAAATTTCCTGGTCATGGACAAATCGGTCCCTTGAAGTTTAATTTCAACGAACTTTGTCAATACAGAAGTTTGTAATAACAACAAGCAGAATAGTAAATTAGTAATTAATAGTTACTTTGTTCATCTCCTTCAAGCTTTTCATCCATATTGTTGAAATTCACGTGTTAATATCTCGTCTAAATAATGATACAAATATACAATGTAGTCCGATGCCTTCCCATTTTAGCAAATTAAACCGTAATAGTTCCTTTTACATCCTACCCGATCGCCAACTATAGACTACGCGCGCTAATTTTTTTTAAATATTAATTTGGGATGAATCAATACGTTAGTCCAACCGTAAAACTTGATGGAAATACGATTGTATTAGTGATTTCAAACCTCAGTAATGAGTCCATGGAGAAATAACGGTTCAGTCACCACTTTAAGTCCAAGGATTGTTCATGTAATTGACCCATTAACATTGGATTTCAGACCTCCGATTTTCCTCCTAAACTGTTTGGATAAGGCGGTATAAACCTCTTAATAATTGATCAGGTTATTATAAAAAAAAAGTCCAAGGATTGTTCATGTAATTGACCCATTAACAAATCATCACCACTTCCTATATATATACGCCTACGCCTATAACCCATCGAGCTAACTCTGTTTAATTCATAATCCAATCCCATTTCCCAACTCCAATCTCTCTTGTTTTGTACTCTCTTTTCTTTAAACTTCCATTCAAATTCTTTGCATTATTTATATTTATTCGATTAGCTGTTAGTAATCCAGCTCAAAACGTGCAAAATTTTGGTTCACACAATACTTAGAGATGCTGAAAGAACCGCCGGTCCGACCAACTAAGCTACACTTCGCTATATGCTTTACCGTTCTACTCTTCATGGGCCTGATCGCCCTGATCTGCTGGCTCAGCCTGCGCCCCAGCCGGCCCGAATTCCAAATCCACCACTTCACCATTGTGGGCCTGGGCCAGGCCGACGGGTTCGAATCCACCCGAATCGTGTTCAACGTCTCGGTCAGGAACCCGAACCGGAGGCTGAGAATCTCCTACGAATCTTTATCGGCTTCGGTATACTACGGCGGGGAACGGATTGGGTCCACGCCGTCGCTTTATTCGTTCGATCAGCCGCCGGAGAACACGTCGTACGTGCACCACGTGCTGACCGGCGGGGTTATGGCCGGGAACTATGGTCAGCCGTGGATGGAGATAGTCAGCGACCGGGCGCAAGGATGGTGGACTTCCGGTTGGAGCTGAGGTCAACGATTCGGAATGAGAAGGCGATATTGGATATGAAGCGACACCGTTTGCGTCCCAAGTGTAATGCTCCTGTTGGGCCGGATGGGCTTCTGTTGCCCGATTATAGAGACAAACGATGTTCCCTCTAACTCGTGTCTCAATTTAATTTTTATTCACTACTTGTTCAATGTTGAGGGTGTGGACAAATATGCATTGTAAGTTGTATCTACTTCCGATCTACTCGTCGTCCTCGTTCTATTTAATACTGTCGTGATCTTAACTTCTGTTAAATCATATTCTAATAATCACATTAAAAATACAATTAGGTATATATCTCAAAGTTTTGATTAATTAAACTCAACTAGTACACGAGTTATTGTCCAGGAAGTATTTTCGAGAACCAAAAAATCAAAAAAATCACAACGTTTACAACTCCGATAGGAGCTAAGCGCAAAAATCAAAATCTCCAATAAGCGCATGAAACAATGAAATGGCCTTTCGAGAATAGAAGTTAAAATCACGATAGTATATGATAGGACAAAATAGATCGACCTAATTTGACCCAAACCACATGAGAGTTAATTAAGCCACATTGCACGCAGCACAAGACAAATATAATGTGAGTTATTGAGGTTCCGCCCATCCTGCTCCATTGCCATCCTTATTTACACTAATGGTAAATGACTAGTAAGAAAACGTGTTATACTTCCATGTCCGTAAAAATGACAGAAAATCGAACATTAATCATCTGCATGTTGATTAAATACGTTTAACTGAAAGTTCGGTGGAAGTAGAACTAAATCCAAGTTAGCATTTTGTTTCATTTTGAAGATCAATGTTAATTTTTGGTTACTTCCATTAATGACTAAGAAGAAATGACTTATTATGCCAATGATTCCAAACTTCAATCACAAGTATAGTTCAAAGAGTAATTCAATGAGCATTCATGTAATTTCACCCTTATTCTTTGCTTTGTCCTCCAACACACCCCAAAGAAGCAATCCAAAAATTCTCCCCATTCCCCCAATTCTTTCAAGTATTCCTTACAGAATCATCCCTACTTCACATATAAAACCCTCTTTCTGCAGTAACCCTGTTCATCACCCAAATCCCATTTCTCATCACTCTCCCGTCCACCAAAAAAAAAAAAAAAAAAAACATGTCCAAAGAAACAGCCACCCGACCCACCAAGCTCTACTTCTCCATCGTCTTCACCGTCGTCTTCTTCATATCCCTCATCCTCCTAATCTGTTGGCTCAGCCTGCGCCCGCACGAGCCCAAGTTCCACGTCCACAACTTCTCGGTCCTCGGTCTGGCCGACCACGGGTTCGAATCGGTCCGGTTCGTCTACAACGTGTCAGTTCGAAACTCGAACCGACGCGTGGGAATTTCCTATGACACCCTGACGACGGCGATTTATCACAACGGACGGCCCATTGGGATTACGCCGTCGTTTAACTCGTTCGATCAGGAGCCCAAGACCACGTTGTATATTAGCCACGTGCTGACCGGAGGGGCGATCGCGGCGGCAGCGGGGAGTGGGGACACGTGGAAGGAGATCGTTGGCGATCGCGGGAGTGGAAAGGTTGAGTTTCAGTTGGAGCTGAGGACTAGCTTGAGGTATGAGAGGACGATGTGGGACCTGAGGCGGCACGGGGTTCGTGCCAAGTGTCAGGTTCCTGTTGGTGGAGATGGTGCTCTGTTGGCGGGCTACGTGGGACAGGAGTGTCCTTCGTAGTTTGACTGTTTGGGGACTTGTGTGTCTTTTTTTTGATGCTGTTGGTGTTGTAATTTGTGAAGCAGAGGGTTTGTAAAAGGATGTGATTTGTTTGATTGGTTTTGTTTTAGTTCGTATTGAATGTAAGAATGATGGTTATTGATGTTTGTTCGTATTTATGATTTTGATATAGTATTCAGATTTTCAAACTAACAATCATATGTGTAATGTAATCATCGATAATAGTAATAAAATAGAGACGAACATTAAAGGATGATACCTACCATGAATTGTATATACATATATTGCTACAAGTAACCAAAAAGAGGAGAATACTCAGCTTACAAGAAACAAGCTTTATACCTTACTCTTGTTGAAGCATTAGGGCTTGCTCACATTGGGAGCAACATAATATGCTGCCATGTTGACCTCTTAACTCCAAAAGCAATTCTGCTGCAGCTGCAATAGGTAGGGTTGCTATTGGAGGAAGATGAAAGGATGAGTCACTAATGGGAAAAAAGGGTTGACGATAACATTAACGATCAATCCAAAAGTCGAGCCAAATTTCGATCAGTGCTCTAAAAATTGGCACATTTTAATCTTTTTCGAAAGTTCAAGCCAACCTTGTCTACTTTGTCTTCTGATGCAACATTGTCTTTTCCTAAAATGCCAAGTTTGGAAAGTTGGATAATTTGACAACTGCTAATGAAGCTCAGTAATAACAATGCGCCAAATTTTATTCATCTACCACTCCACTTCTCTTTGGCTGTCCCCCTCCTCCTAGTTTCACCTTCCTATCTCTTCTTCTTGCTCACGGGTTCTCCTCATCTGATTGGTTGCCATGCTGCCCCGGTACAGCATCCACGAAAAATTCCTCCACTGTCACAACAAAGTGAGAATTAATTCTTCATCATCGACTAACCATTGTTGTATTATTGAACATTTGATTCGTTTTCAGACAAATCGGACGATCCAAGTAACGATTACGAAACAATGCAGCCGAAATCGAGTGTGTACCATAAGTTCATAACGCGCCCTGATCACTATTATGTAGTGGTCAAGACTAGGATGAAGTCACTAGATGAGAAAGACAAGGTTGGGATGTATTTCTCAGTTACCTATGCCGTCATGCTCTGGAGAATCAAGCAAGATTTCAGAATCGGAAGGCAGAAATGGTGAGCCAGGATAATTTCCTAGAGCGCCTAAATCTGTATCATCAAAACCACACAAAAAAACCAAAAAGCAATCTTCTTAGTTACCATCATCTGATTGTTTCAGCAGAAGATTCATTCATCATAATGTTAAGCGAGCTTTACCTCCCAAGTTGGATAAATCAGCGGTCAGATCCGAGAGACTAAAGTTCCACTGAATCTGATCAAGTGACCTGGACCCTCCAGCACCTCCGTCGGGCCCCAGCTGCAATCCTACCGAGCTAGCCACATCAGATGTAAATGCTGTATCGAGTGCAGATGTGTCTACTCCCATCCCTGGTATATCCGACGCTGTAAAAGGGAAATGGCCGCTCGACGCCACTGATGTAGGACTTACAGCCGCCATTTCGGGCATGCTGCTGTTTGCTGCAGTAACAGCAGCACCAGCAACTACTGCATCAGGTGCTGCACTCGTTTCAATCACCATGTTGCTGCAAAAAACGAAGACTAATTACAAGAGACTCAACCGTAGCAGGGCAGGCATTTTTTAAAATGTTCTATCCTTTTGTGTCGTGGGAGATGGAAACTGAATACCCAGTTGATAGAAACAAGAACATCTAACTCTTTTTTTTCTTTTTTTCTTTTCTAGGAATGGGATGAGAGAGTTCTCACTCATTTCCAGAGTTCATTCGCATGGGATGGAAGTTTCCTGGTGCTGGGACTCCATTGACAACATGACAGCTTGATATTCCACAGGCCATGGAGTCCATATGAGGTTGTCCAGGAGCTGCCATTGGCGGTTGTTGAAGAACAGGGTACCCCATAGGTAAGTTGTTAACTGCAGTACAAACAAACGGTGCTGATTATATCGTAACAAAATTATACGACAATCAGATCATTTAATATAAACCGATCAGGTACTACAGAGAATTTATTAAACAGATAAGCAGAAACCGGTTTCTTCTGACAACCAATTGCACTGATAACCAACAGTGAAATTGTAGAAGTAAGTTCTTAGAACAAAAGGATGAAGCAAGTAGCATAACAGGACCTTTATCTTGCTATAAGATAGATGATGAAATATTACGAAAGGAATGGTGCGTAAAACAAAAACAAAATTTTGATTGACTGCACTGTTAGATAACACCAATTTTAAATTCAAATACAGCTTTTCTACTTGCTTTCTCATCATTCGATAAACAAACAGTTCCAACAGGATAAAAGTCACTTAAGAACTCACCAGGCATTGTGTGGATCCCATTTTGCATAGGAGCCAAAGGAACTTTTGGGGGTACTGGATATTTCATAAGATGGTATTGATTCTCAAGCAAATGATTAAATAGAAGGATCTGTTTCTTTAACTTCAGCCGTATGTAGTAAGCCCTGAAGAAATCGGCATTCTCCTCTTCCAACTTTTGCCATACTGAATGAAAGAAAATAATGAGAAGAGAATATTAGAACAATACACTGAATAATCTGTTCAATAGTGTTGCGATGGAAGAAAAATATAGTATCCTTCATCCACAAAAAGAAATCCCATCTCATATATGGTATACGGCATAAAGGTACAGGAACCAAAATCTAGCACGATCAGATCAATAGGAGAAACCCACCTAACGTTGTAAATCCAGGATCTATCCTTGCACGAGTCAAGAGGGTTTTGACCACCTCATCCTTATTCATGTAAAGCTGTAGACACCTTTCTATTAAGTTCTGAACCTACAGAAGCCAGTAAAGCAGATTGGTAACGGTTCCTGGAACAGGAGCCTGGGAAACAGTTCCATTCAAAGAAAAGAAAAGAAAACCAAGGAACTGTACGATGCAAGTCTTTTTGGTAAACTTCAAAAGAACATGAAGCTAGCTAGCTAGCCAAGGGACACAGTTCTTATAATGAAAAGCACAAATGAAACACAACCAAAAGATAAACAAGGAACAGATTCACCTACAAGTTCAATGTCCTGGCGAGAAACCTTTTTGTTATCATTACTGGTGGCAGACAGAGAACCAGAATCCGCCGCTGGGCCCTCTGGATTGTTATTGTTTGGCTGATCACTCTGAGAGTCCAGTGATACTTGGTTTGACCGAACTTCCTGTTTGTTCTAAGAATCCAGAACAACTCTATTAAATTCTTGTAAAAGAAAATTTATATGAAGTAGCCTAATTTTACCAACAGCCAGTGGTAGTCTGATCAATACCCACTTACTGGGGAAACACACACCTGAATGCTCTATTAACATTTATCTACAAGCTAGCTAGTTCGTGGTATATTGTGACTATGTACAGCTATCTACAAACACACCTTAATGCTCTTCATCCCAGCTAAAAGCAAGCTGATTGCATCTGCTTCTGTTCAGCTCCAATGTTCTTCAGTTTCTTCAATGGCCAAGATGGAAGAAGAAGCAGTAGGTACTAGCTATGCCAATGAAAACCATAGATCACAAAGGCACTATCACCTGTGAAAAGAAGTAAAAAACTTGAGCTTTTGAATGGTAACACAAGTATATCATAGCTCTGCGTGATAGAAAGATATATATAAACAAGCACTGCAGCACTGGAATCTAAAATTTAAGCCTGCTGCATATTGAACCTGACATATATAATTTTTACTTATGAGTCGTTAAGACGAGACAATGTGACGAAGCATTTCGCCCATATCATGTCAACACGGGTCATTTCGACAAAATGGTTGTTAAATGTTGAACCTAAAACAAATTTTATACTTATGGATCATTTAGATGAGGCATTTTGACGAAGCATTTCGTCCATATCATGTTAACACTAGTCATCGCGACAAAACCGTCGTTAAATGTTAAACCTAATTTCTACTTATGGATCGTTTAAATGAGGCATTGAGACGAAACATTTCGCGCACAACATGTTAACACGAGTTATTGCGACTAAATGTCTCGTTTGGCAAGTAAAAAAAGAATCAGACTATAAGAGCATACTATAGCGATTAAAAAATAGATTAAAAAGGCATTTCCCACTGATTAAACAAATATAGCTTGAAGATTCTCCACCCAGTCAACCAACAGCACCCAATAAAAAAGCTCAAAGTAAATTAATTGGATATTATGAGTTACCAACCGAATCTTCAGCCATAAGACCATGCAAATAACAGTAGCAAGCAAACAGCAAGATCTAGGATTGATCAGGATCTTACCAGAGTCGGAGATTCCCCGAAATGAACCTCCGATTTCGAGATTTCGACGAATTGAGATAAGAGATCAGTACAGTTCTACCCTGCAGAAATGAAGATTCAAGAGCTATGCCAGTGATTCCCGCATAAAACTCCCGACACTCCGATTTCGCGTTTTCAACAAATTGAGAACGAGATCCCTTATTGTTCTAGCCTACAGATGGGGGGATTCAAGAGCATAAAGTAAAGCGGCTGGTCGCCGATGACGCAATACCGAATTTGATAGATGCCCCCCGAATCGCAGCGGCTGCCCGCCTCAAGATTCGTCCGTCGTCGGAGCAAGGGGGGGTCGTCGCCTAGAGCGAGTTGTTATAGAGTGTGGAACGGCAGTAAGGAGGGCTTACGATGATGTTGGTGTGTGTGGAGAGATGGGTAGATGAGACTGCGCGTTCTCTGACCATGAGAAAGGAACCCACCCGCCGACAGAGGGCGAAATTAGAGGGAGATGGTAACGGCGGCGAAGGGATCCATGGCGGCGGGGGGGAGAAAGGAAGGAATGCGGCGGGTGGCGGAAGAAGGGCCGGCGGGGGCCGGGTGGGAAATGGGAGGGGAAAATATCTTTTTTTTTTTTTTAGTTTGTAGAATTGTGATTATTGGGATAAGGAGTGGGAGGTCGAAATCGCATGCTAGTATAGAACAAGGGCTCAGCAAGACAGCCAGTCAACAACTGTCAAACCTACTCAAAACGGTCGCGTTTTCGTCAACACCACTTCTCAAAACTCGTCGCTAATAATCATCTTTACCCACTAGTTGGGAATGGTTGCTAATGAAGTGGTCGTTTTTGTATCATTTTCTTTGTTTGATTTATACGTTGATGTGGTGCGATTTTGTGTAATGTGGACAATGGATACATGAGAAAACCAAGATGTTATGCCGGCGTTTCGTGAGCTAGATCGAGAGTGAAAACTTGAATGAAGTCGATGTAGGACGGGCACGTATAGATGCATGTCATTGAAAAGGCATGCATACTCGATCGTACGATGGCGTGTTTTAATAAAGCTAAATAATAACCAGTAAGATAATGATATAAGTTTCGTTTTCATTGACAGAAATAGATAAAAGGAAACGGAGCATTGAATTGTCTTGATGACTTGCTAATTACGACACATTTAACAGGAAAGCAGATAAATTCAGGGGTGATAATTTTTTTAGAATAAAAAAAAACGTAAGTAACAATTTTTTTATATATATTCTAAAGTCTAGTAATAATTTTGGTTAAACTGAATTTGTCGTAATGACCATGAAAAAACGTTCATTAAATCAAGTAACATGCAATTGCATGATATTACCAAATAGATCGATCGGTTAAGTCGTAACCATGTAGGTGACATGTGCTTTGACATTAGTAGAGGAAGACCGAGGTAACAAATTGGTGCAAAATTTGTTACTAAGAGGGTGTACATGATGCAGGCTCGATTTAATTCATAGGTGTTGGAATATAGATAATTAATACAAAAAACAATTATGTAACTTGCATCATCCTTTATACCGTAATAACTTGGGCGTTAGTGTTAGATCACGAGATCATCCTACCTCTGCATATGTCTCTTCACGCTAAAAAAAAAAAAAAAAAGATCTCGTCCCTTATGTTCTTCATCAAGAAGATCATAAACAGTTGGACTCCTCACCTCTTCGACTATACATAAACAATGAATATAATAACATGTACAACATGCCATCCAACATTTTCAATTACAAAAAAGAAATTTACAATAAAAATTCCTTCCAACAAATATATGAATTAGGAAGGATCGAATTGATGACTTGGTTCATGTTGGACGATCTTGCATTTCATTGTGCTTTCTTCTTGTTTCATTGCATCTTGTTTATTGCATTGGGCTAGTTTGCAAACAGGTTGTGGTCGAGTGGTTGTAGCTCTTGATTTCGTTCTCGGAGATTTTAGGCTTTAAGTTTGAAATGCACAATCATTTTGACCTCTCTTCTGTGATGATACCATCAGTCTCATTCGAGTTGAAAATCGATCGACAACCATGTAATCTGCTTGACGACTATATCACTATAATATACCAGTCAAAATAATTCTCTATCATAAAAGGCACATATTTCTATACTTTTTTTTTTTTGGCCACAAGTTTTGGATGAAAGAAGAGAATACCCAAATCCGGGAAACCAGCTATACCTAGCTTGATACCTTACTCCTCTTCTTGCATAAAGAGACTTTCTCCCAACAAGAGCAACGTAATATGCTGCCATCCATGCTGTGGCTTCTTAGCTCTTACAACCAAAAGCAATCTGCTTTCTACTCATACCAGAGTCTACAGCTACCACTTTTCTTAAACCATGATGACTGCCAAGTTTCAATGGGGAAACTTCTCCAACCTAAGACACAAACTTTGCTATACCATACATATTCTTTCCTTAGATGCCATGCCACATTTTAATACTCCAAACCACATTCATATAAAACAACTCTCCCCTATTCATCCTCAACACAACAATCATCAGAATTCAGAAGGAAGGAAGACCCCAAGGAAGGCAAAAAAAAAAAAAAAAATGTACAACCACAACAACAACAACAACAACGGCCGGCTGCCGGTCCACCGCGAGACCAAGCCGCCGCCGATCGAGCGCCACCACACGGCCCGCTACATCGCCCACCGCGTCCGCGAGAGCCTCACGACCCGCGTCTCAAAAGTCATCTGCTCCATCTTCCTCACCATCCTCCTCGTCGCCGGGATCGTCGCCTTCGTCCTCTGGCTCAGCCTCCGGCCCCACCGCCCCCGGTTCTTCATCGAGACCTTCTCGGTCCCCGGGCTCGACCAGCCGGGCGGGTTCCAGAACGCCCAGGTCCGGTTCAAGGTCACGGTCCGGAACTCGAACCAGCACATGGTGTTCCACTACGGGGCAATGCAAGGCGCGGTGTTCTACAAGGACCAGCAGATCGGGTCCGCCCGGCTGACCGAACCGTTCGACCAGGGGCCCAAGACCACGAAGGTTTTGGACGAGGTTCTGACCGGGGCGACCCTGACGGTCAGCAGCCAGCGGTGGGCGGAGTTTCAAGGGGACCGGTCGTTGGGCAAGGTGCCGTTTCGGTTGGATATCACGGCGACGATCATGTTCAAGGTGTCCACGTGGCGGAGCGAGACGCATCGGATGCATGCCAACTGTGATGTGGATGTGGGGCCCGATGGGTCGATCTTGCCGATTTTTAGGTCGAAGAGGTGTCCGGTCTATTTCACTTGATTTCGTTTGATTTTATTGGAATATCGTTAATTATTTTCCTTTGGGTTTTTTGGATTGTAATTTGTGCAATTGAGCTACTAATGTTTCATTTTCTTCTCCGGCAGGCAGTGTAATTTGATTATTTTATTTCTATGACTTGTAAATCAGTGTATCCTATTGCATAATATAATTTTTTTTATGAATGATGAGACTAAAAAAAAAAGTATGCGTGTTTTAAAATATTATACGGGTTTATTCGGAACAGTCAAATTTTGTGCATGTACTATACTGTTAATATAGACGTACAGTCCATCAAGCTTTGTAAAAACTAAAAACAAAATCGACAAATCGCTCAATATCCTAGATTTATTATAGAACTAAAAATTTATCTTTTGTAATTCACTAATTAGATAAACCTCATAAAATAGAATCAAACTACTGAGTTCGAAATTTTTAGAAAATTGTTATATTATGTTCTTAAATCATCTCATGTTTTTATGGTTTACTAAGATTCACGTATAGTGTCAAATACCAGTTAATCACAATCGCTCTGTTAATTGGAAAATACAAGATAAATGACTACCGACAATCTATCAAATAATTGCACCAAGTATCGCAGCCGCAAAGGCTATCTACAAGACAAACACATATCTATCAATTTAATAAATAAAAAAGATAATCCACAATTTTTGATTTGCTAAAGTCAACGAAGTTAATCTAACGACAGTAATTATTTGGAGTATGATATGCTCCAAGAATAATCCACTCATTATCTCTATATAAATGTCTTCTATCTTGCTCTAAGTAAGTATATGAGTAACACATATCCTTGGAACAAAAAATAATTATCTCTTCACCTTCAATTAACCGAATTTTGAGTTATTATATTATAAGTTTATAACCATAATTCTTAAATCTTAATAAGTAAATTCTACATCCTATTTCGATCTCTAAACTCCAAAATGCTAAATAATAAGACGACGCATTAATATGTTAGATGTATTTCGACAAACTAGAACTTGTTCGACTAGCTTCGATCTCCAACTCGATGTGATTGTCTTCTGGTTTACAAATAGTTAAAGGTTTGCGATTCGCTCTGATTCAGCATCCACTGCTACTTCTACCACCATTCTTTCCTCGTCCTTTTTCCTTCTTATCCTCGTTCATGGAAGCTGACGAAAATTGGCTATCTGAACTTTAACCACCATGCTCCACTCTTCGTTCGCATTGCGTAAGAAAAAAAGGACTACAACAATAGCCTTTCTGAGACTTCAAGGTGACTTGTAAAGTGCAAAAATCCCAGGGCTTATGATACGTAAAGCTTCATCCCTTTGATTCTTTTCCTCCAAATTAAGGACTCCATAATTCCCCACTTTTCTTTGTACTCGTAGTCATTCCTTTCATACCAAACCATCTCTGCAAGCTTTCCAATTCAACTTTCTGTCCAAAGCTTAATCGTAATTAACTCGTTTGCACAATCAGCAACCACTAATGTCTAATTATTCCTCCATAAGTGCATATAATGCAAAGAGCACATATTCTCTTCGTAAACAAGAAACTTCCCTAGCTAAAACATAAATGTTCCTTTTAGCCAAGAATGTTCTATTGGTAGATTACATAATGGGTCACTGACTCTGAGGGCATTAGCGAAATGATCACTGAATTTTGATTGTTAAGAGCCTTCGATGGAGTTTGGAATAACTACCAACACTGTTACTATGTCCGAATCATCCAGATGATATAGTGTCAACTCATGCAAATTAATATCGAAGTTCGTTAACTTATTTGTTAGTAAACTCAAAGTTTATGAACCATTTATGAAATTAACCTAGCCAGAGGTGAATTTGGCACTTAAGGCTCCTCTCTGTTTGGCCAATCTAGTTCATAAGCTTTATACTTGGTGATCATTGCAATAGTTGAGCACATTGCAATAACTGAGTACTTATTCTTTCATTATCGTGGTACGCGTGTAGATAAACTTATTAATTAGTTTTTATACATTGACCATAATGATCGTGGTTGGGAATGCTCGATCAGTTAATTTCATCACATCATAATATTTTTAATGAAAGATATGTGATTAAAAACAATGTTTATCACCACGTAAAAAATCGAATAGTGATAATTATGTTGTATCCACGTATGACCATTGAAAGCGTTATGATCAAATTCAGAGTTCGGGTACCGAAAATATCAAATTGATAAAAGTCTCTTCTTATTCCCATATTGACAAAAATGTTGTCTTTCTCGTGAAACTTCTCGATGCATGCTCCTCGTGATGCTCTTAACTTGTGTCTAACACATGAGATTTTCTATGGTTAATTTCTGTGGGAATTCGCAAACTCTTGTCCAGCATGTGGTGGCGGGTGAGGCTGAGCATGGTCTCGAGGGAGCTCTCTTGAAGGAAGTTAGACATCTCTTTCTGATTTTTGTTTCATTTTTTTTTTTTTTTACTTTAACTTCACATCGATTTAATAGGGTTATCCACTTAATGTCACAAAAGGTCTTCTCATCAACAATTCGGCTATATATCAATGTTCCTGGTTGCACAGTTTTTATTATTATCTATCTATTGTGAATGAAACGCTATCGATAGGGGAAAAAAGCTGCATCGTTCTTTTTGTACACACGCAAGCTAAGTTCTTTTTGGGAGCCTTTCTACACCTATATAAAGCCTTTCTCATATCCCAGGAAATGAACTTTGAGCAAGCTAGCTTTCGGTTGGTTTCATACTACATCACCCTAGATTCTACAAAAAAACATGCCCCGTTATATAGAAAGAGAACCCAATTCCTCAAATTCTCAATTGGCTTCCCTCCAAAACCAGTACACCGCGATCATGGCTTCTCCACGCCGCCCCGAAAGCCTTGACGACGCCCATCTATCCGTCTACTGCTGGCTGTTGCAAGTCTTCTTCCTTCTCTCAACCATCTCCATTCTCATATGGAAATGCTTGACCCCACAATCCCCTGTCTTTATCGTCACCAATATTGCCTCTCTTAATCACCAAAATTTTGGTGACGATAATGTTACTTCCGTCGCCTTAGATATCGATATCTCCAACCCGAATCAAGGCTATGGCATCTACTTCAGCGACGTCTTCGTTACCCTCGAAGACAGCTCGATCCTCGCCAATGGTTCTCATTCGGGGTTTTACTTGAGCTATGGTGACATTACTGCGCTGAAAGTGTCGGTAAATGGCACGATAAAGAAGGTTGGGAGCTGTTTGGATGATGTGACGAGATTGAGATTGAGAACGGGGGTGCAATTCGAGGATAAGGTGATTTCGAGCAGAACGAAGCGTAGCGAGATGGACTACGGAGCTTATTTGAGAGTAGGAGTGGATGGAAGGATCGCATTTGGAGGAAAACAAGTTCTGATGTCGCTAAGCAATCAACAGAAGGTGACAAGTAGTGAAGAAGTACACCCTTGTCTCAACTCAAGTAGGAAGCTTTTGAGTCATTGGAATATGTTTGGAAGCAATCGTTAAGTAATTATGATCTCAATTACGAGGATACACGAGTTTTTCATTATAATTGTATGCTTTTGAAGTTAGCTAGTTCAGGAGATGGATCCATCTAAATCAATGTAGTATATTACTATGTCTATAATGAAGTTTAGTGCATCTGATCCAATATTGTGGTAATGCGAGCGTGTAAGATAATCCAGCCATGGCGGATGACGGACGTCGGAGATGAACCTATGCAGCGGGTACGCCACTACTATTAAAAAAAAAAATGAATAGTATCCCACCATTATTCTTGGGACCATGAGATACTCTGTTAAAACTTAAAACAGAGGAGAACAGAGGAGCCTCTGTTTCCAGAGGGAAATTAAGCCCAACGATGGTGGAAACGAAGTAATTTGTTTCAGCGAGTGGTTAAATTAATAATCAAGAATTCATCAACGGATCAAAGAATTAGTGTTGGTCTGGGGAAAAAGAAGGATTTTTCTTCCGATCTCTCAATCCTTGTGGTAAGGACTAAGGACTAATGAGGGAAGTGCAGATAATCAGGGTATTCGCAGCCGGGGAACTCCGGCTAAGGTTAGGGAGGTAGAAGAAAATCCCTTATCTGGTGATCAACACAATCACCAGCCCGCCGCCGCTGCAGCAGCAGGAAGAGGAGTACGCCAGAGGGCAATAGGCACAGGCGACGGATCAGCGAAAACAAAGCACGAAAATTGGAAAATACAGGAGTCAGAAATGTCACAACTCAGAAAGTACTATTGAAATAAGAGGCAGCAATGATCAGCTCCGTAGGATGTTTAGGAACCCCCTTGCTTGGAAATCCAACGTTGATTAGCGACCTGCCTTCTCCATTCCCGAGCAGGAACCTGCAGAACAAACAAAACGAGAAGCATTTTAGTCTGGCATGAAGTCAACAATAACTGCAAATTTCAAGAGGGACTTAAGCTAAGAGCTTACAGCAGGGAAGCCGGCATAATCCCCGGGCTCGCTGATGTCCTTGGTGACACAGCTATTAGCAGCAAGCCGCACCTTGGATGCAACTGATACATGGTCACGAACTGCCACTCTCCCCCCTAATGTAACATAATCTCCTATCCTAAAGCAACAAAAAGGGGAACAAAACCATATCTCCGTTCACTGCAAATCCTCGAAGAGGTATGTACAGCTAGGTTGTTGTCACAAATTGAAAAGTCACTTACGTTGCAGAACCTGCAATTCCGACTTGTCCACAGATAATGCAGCTCCTTCCAATGACCACATTATGAGCAATCTGAAATGGAGAAGGAAAAACAACTCATCTTCTAGTATAATGGGCGTAGGAAACGGAATCAAGTTATGCAATGGGAACTTACTTGGACTAAATTATCTATCTTTGAATGGTCTCCTATGACTGTGTCTCTCCAACTGTATAACCGGAGAAGTTAGAGACTTTTACCCATCAAATTCAGTTCCAGTCATGCTACTTCGAGAATCAGCACAAAATGATATATACAGATAGAAGACGGAATACACAATTCTGACCTGCCCCTATCGACACAACTGTTTGCTCCAATCTCAACATTGTTCCCTATCCTCACATTCAGAAGCTGCAGAGGGAAGAAAAATGGTGTGAGTAAGTCAAGATAAGTCCAAATGACTCAAAGTGGGACTGAACTTCAATATCAAATTCAACCCTATCAGCTCCAGATGACTTGTATCTGCTTTTACAAGCTAAAGACAAATCAAACAACCTGAGGTTTCTTCACCATGTTGCCCTGATCATCCACAAAGAAACCAAATCCTGTACGCAAAAAAACAACAGCAGCAAAAGCCTTAGAAATGCTGAAGCAACTATACCACCCAAAGAGCACGATTGCCAGACTAAGTGCTCAAATTGCTCCAAAAATGACAGTTACAAATGAGAAAAGAGTGAAGAAATTGACTTGGTAAAATCGACGTTTAGTAAAACCATTCAATCTTCAAAATATACGAAAAGATGGTACCTCACCATCTTGGCCAATGCACACTCCATTATACAATGCACATGAATCGCCAATGCTGCAATTGCCAAGTACAGCATTGTACCTGATATGAACACGGAAACTCAATCTTTGCCAATAAACTAGAAGTAACTTACAGAAGATATCAGATATTCACCCTATCTTTGTAGAGCCGCCAATCGCGACAGCAGGGCCAATTACAGCACCGGATCCAATATGAACATTAGCTCCCACCATAGCCTTAGAGTGAACCACGGCACCAACTTCTATAACTGCCGTTGGATCAATACAAGCCAGGCTGTGGAAAACTCCACCTCCATTGTTCCATTTCGAGAACTCCCCTTGATATTTCGCACTACCATCTTCTAATCTTGAACAGTGAAACAGAATGAACCATTCAGCATCCGACTTATCCAACACCATGAAGAAGAAAAAAATTGCAACTTTGGAGTCGATGTAGTGATTGGGTATTACCAGAATGCAGAGCGGCGGCAGCTCCTAGTTGGGTGAATAGGTTCGTTGGTTTAAGGCGATTGAGAGTGTCTGACCCGCCAATCTGCCACAGTCGCTTGAGTGAAACCGCCATCGCTCCAGCTGGGCAAAACACTGCGAAAATGAAGTCAATCGAAATCTAGACAAACCGATTTGAGATACGAATCCCACTGAAAGAAGGGCAATTTCTTGTTTCTAGAGGACTTACGAGTTACGAGGTTCCCCTGCTTTGCTCTGCAAAATGATCAAGCTTGGCAATTCTTTCTGCTGCTGGCCGGAGGCAGAGGAGAGGCATCGTTAGGGTTATGTACGGGGGAAAATTTTCCGATTTGGAGGGAAATTTCTGTTCTGGGCATCCAACTTACGCTTCTAAAGCATTCCGGTCACTATAAAACTCATAGTATGCCGAGCTCATGCCAAACATTGGTATAACAATTATTAAAAAAAAAAATGGGTAGAGACCAGTATTCGGCTTCATATGATATTAGAATAAAAGAATTTGTCTTTTACATGATTAAAACAATAAAACAAATGTATGTGGTGGATAGTAATGTATAATTAGTTGATACTAACCTGATATAATTAGTTAATTGGTTAATGAGGAAATGGGTAATGTTTATAAATTTGTTGACCGAATTGCTTGATTGATTAGGGAGATCCCATAACAAAATAAGATTTTTGCATATCTATATGCTAAGAAAGTTAAGACAGGTGGGTACCTCAGCACTCATACGGTCATACCCACTCCTTAGTAGGCGAGGGCTAGTTTTGGTGTATTTTTTCGAAGTGTAGGTTGAGCATATCGATCCATTTGGATATATATTTCAAACAAAAATATTTCAACAAATTGATGAATTCAATAAGAATAAGAATCTTGATCTACAAACAGATAGTATGACATGATCCAAAAAGTCAAATCATTAGAGAAATATGGACTTCACATAATAATAGCTCTGCTAATGTTTAAAAACTATGTAACAAAAGTTTAATGGTAAGTAGTTTGAGTAAATAATATAAGGAGTTAAACAAACAAGACATAATGAGGTGGGACAGGATTAAAAAACCACCAATGTCTATCTCGAACCGTCTATAGGACTAAGCACCTCGTATCCTAACCTACAAATTCACCAAAATTCACTCACAATTATTTTCTATATAAAAGTAGGGTGCATGTCATTTTGGTGACCCGCAACCCACCACTCACTCGAATAGGTGCAGATAAGTGATTGACCAACTCACAATCCACCCACATAAACTACTCGTCCATGGTTTGAGTTATTTGTATGTAAGTTCGTATCAAACTGTGGTTCAACCACCTTGTTGCCCATCCCTACTGGACAATCACCACGTCTAGAGCACGATGAAAAGTGGGTTGTCGGTCATTCTCTTGTCTAATTTTAATTTGTTGTGTTTCTCATTCACCCTTATCTTTAGATGACATATGTCACATGCTATTGCTCGACTCTGATTGTTGCTACGACATTGTCGGCACATAGGTCCTTGACATAAACAAGGAAATGTAAAACCTAGTTGTACCATAAGCACTGCAAGGGGAGCCCTAAAGTTGTGGAGCCAATTGATTATTAAATGAATGAAAAATAACAAGATGATAAAAGAACAAATATAGAGAATTGATAAATAATATTCATAGTAAAAAGAGTGGCGAACAATTATGATTTTGGTTAACAAAATATCGCAAGTTCGGCATCATAATTGAATAGATTATAATCCTTTACATCTTTTGGCTACCTTCTTCTACAACTATTGGTAGTAAAAAAAGTTTCATCTCTATATGTATTCACTCACTCATCATCATCAGGAAGCTTTGCTCCTTCAAAGCTAAAGTCAGAATTGATACTATTTGATCCTACCGGGGATGCTGAAGGATAAATGTTGACAATTAAGAGAGACAAAGTTCATGGATCTTAAATATATCCCATTTTTTTTATTGATAGTGCTTATATCATTTATGTCTAGTTCAACACAATATTTCCGTGAGTGGTGAGTGGTAATGTGCATATCGTAATAGATAATTTGAACTTTGGTTTTGCATCACTTTCGGGATAAAAAACTAACTGTATTCTCATATCACATATCACGAAGTTAGTTTACTAGCATTAAACTATATAAGTTCATCTATGGTATTGAAGAAATCTGCATCTAAACAAGAACAAGACAAACCACAAACTTACCTTTTCTATGGTATACAATTTAACCTTTTATGCTAGCAGTAATTTGGTTTTCTCCAAAATCTCATAAAGCTAACAAGTAACAACTCTATTTTATTTAATACTTGCTTGCGCCAATAAATTTCTATCAAAGGCGAACATTGGCTCACCATTGCTAAAATGGGCTTATAATACGTTCATCTCATACTAAAGACATTTTTGTGATCAAAGGACCTAATTTGAATGATCATGCTACATTCATTTAGTTTTGATAAGTCGTTTTCCACAACTCAATTATTATGTCCCGATTCACAATTATTTTGCGTTGAATTTGGTTTATGTGATGTATATATACAAACATTATTGTGAACGACGTTAGATGGTTACATCGTTAATTATCCCATGATTTTTTTGCCTATCATTTACCACAAGAAAAGCACCTAAGATAATAATTGACTTCATATATGGCTAGAAACCTCTATTTTCCCAATTTCTTCAAATCTCTCTAGCTCTGCTCGAGAGAGTTTTAGTCGTGAATCGTATATCATTTACTAACACACCCACTCAAACGAAAGCCACCATATATGGGCTTGAAGTTTGCACAGGTCCGGACACCATGTGCTTAACAGAGACAAATGGGGGTTACCAGGATTCGAACAGAAGACCTCTCGATCACAGAAGACTCTAATACCATGTCAAGAACCAGTTGATCCCAATAACTCGAGTTGTTGGGAAAGATTCAGTCGTGGATCATATATCGTTTACTAACACCCATTACAACTATACGATTTTATAGTTGATCCCAATCACTTCGACGTAAGCATTACTGCGCCGTTGTATAATTAAAACTATACGATTTTATTAGTTATCATTATTATTATTACCTCCATTAATTTTGGGTCTATTCCTCACTACTATATTTCGAAGTTGGCCGACAGCATCTACAAATAAATGGGTGTGACATGACTGGGTTGACTTCCTGCTGCAAGGTTCAAGTTGTTGGACGAGATCAGAGCTGACAAATTTCTACAAGGAAAGTTTCTATCTAAGGAAAGGAAGTGCTGATTTACCTCAACGGCTAGTGGGATTAACGGCTAGTTTGGAGCACTATATAATCTGGGTTGACTTCCTGCTGCAAGGTTCAAGTTGTTGGACAAGATCAGAGCTGACAAATTTCTACAAGGAAAGTTTCTATCTAAGGAAAGGAAGTGCTGATTTACCTCAACGGCTAGTGGGATTAACGGCTAGTTTGGAGCACTATATAATCTGTTCCTTCTTCCTCTTCCGAGGCAACTTTTACAAAAAAGAAGATCAGGCGGTACAGGGCATATTCTTAAGAGTAAATGGTGTTTTTCTACAGGGGTACAGGGTCTGAGAGAAGTGGCTGATATTGTTGCAGAGTTAGCATTAAACTCTGATTTCTTTGGTATTTGGTTATTTAATTTCTAGCTGTAACTGTGGTCTTATAAACTAAAATAATAGTGTCTCTCAGCAGGAGTGAGTACGACTGCTGGGACGAGGAAGTAACCATGTTTGGGCGAACCTCGTTAAAATCCTCTGTGTTCCTTGTTCTTCAATTGCCTTCTTCTTCCTCTGTGTTTTATTTCTGTTCTGCTTCTGTTCTGCGAAAACAAGACAGAGTACTACTGATAATCGGCTTTAACATATTGAATTTTTGGACTTTATGTGATTATCTGTGGTATGTTTTAGCCAATTGGTGCTAATTTAGGGCTCGCTAACCCGTAGATGGTTGAAAAACCATTATTGCCTAGTGCCATGAGTTTGATATGTTACAGGTGGAGAAAGTACGAAAAGAAGCGAGTGCACAACAAGTAATCGGGCCAAAGCCCAAATTGATGGGACTTTGAATTAGCAGCTCGGCAAAGTCTATGGGCTTGGAATTAATTGAGGCTTTTTGGTTGTGCTGAGAGGGAATTGGAGCGGCCAGGAGGGGGAATAAAGCTTGGGCCACGAAATTAATTGATGAAGGGGATTTCTTATTGGCCGGAAAAGGCAGAAGGCAATGATTGAAGGGTTTGTTTTGGACGGAACAAAAGAGACAGGGAGGCGAATTAATATTGGAAGGAGAATTCTGGGCGGAGATTGATTCTTTTTTGGAGGCGGCTATTAGTTTTTTGGGACGAGAGCTCTTAGGCAAAAAGGCCGCAGCGCGCAGTAGAGAGGATTGAGCAACCATCGGCGATCAGTTTTCCAGGCGGCTTGAGCTGAGTTCAACGAGAGCGATTAGTTGGTTGGATTTTCTAAACCGAATTAGTTGTTTCTTGTTGATTTAGAACATGATGAACAAAACCCTATCGATTTATCTTAATTTCGTCATGAACTAAACCCCAATTTCTGGGGGAAACACCATAGGATGTAGCTAGTTCTTGATTTGATGGATTGATTCATGATTCTTTTCTTCCAATCTCTATTGCATGGAATTGCTTAATGCTTTGTGTTGACTGGCCACCAATACAACGATTTGTAGTTAATTAGGTTATTTGCGACAGTGAAACCCTATTAACTGAACCTGTTTCATGTGACATAGTAACTTATCGAAGCGACAGTGGATTAAATAAGGTACTATGCGGTCTTGATTGGGATATCGTTCTTCAGGCTAAATAATTAACTCATTGAGCTACGACAGTAGGATTTGATTTAATTGTTTAGTACGTAGTAATTCCCGACAGGGATAGCTAGCACAGTAGTGATATCCTGGCCGTAGAGAATTGGATTAAACCGATTAGAATGTGTGAATTAATCTGGATAGGATAGGTAGTAAATCCCGGTGTTTCTCCCAGAGCTTTCTCCCATTGAATTAAACCCGACAGTTTTCACTTGCTTAATTTGTTTAGTTAATTTTGCTTTTAGTTAATAATTTCATCTCTTAAACATTTTCACATATAGTTTGCTCGAAAGAATTGATAAATCATAAGGTTGTACCAGTCCCTGAGAGACGATACCCGGACTTTCCGGATTACTACAAGATAGGAATTGGCATTACGCTTTTGCCCTATCAAGTTTTTGGCGCCATTGCCGGGGACTGCCATACCTTATTTTTGTTGATTTTTGTGAGTGAACTATTTTGATCTGGGTGTTAGTGTGCAGAAGAATTTTCAGGTTTATCATCCTCGTGCATGCCTAGGAGGACGACTGGCAATTTACTGCCACTAGACCCGGAGATCGAGAAGACCTGCCGACAGAACAGGAAGCAGGTCAAGTTAGGGAAGCAGCCAACCACAACTCCTAGGCCTTCCCTAACCCAGAGAGGGCAGGCTTCATCACCTGTCGTCCCTACACCACCACCACCACCTCGTGAGGTCGAGCCTGTCATCATGGCAGAACAGGATCGTTCGATCAGGGCTCGCTTGAATCGAAGGACTGGAGCCCGAGCTTCATGTGTTGTCATTCCGGCTGGGGATGCAAACATGGAGATTACCCCAGCCTTCATCAATATGATCACTAATGGGTACACCTTCTCCGGAGCTAGCAGTGAGGATCCTCATGAGCATCTTCGCCGGTTTGCAAACATTTGTGACACTATGAAGAGCCCGGCTGTGTCTGATGATGCCATCCGTCTTCGGATGTTCTCATTTTCTCTGCTAGGGAATGCATCCCA